GAGAGGCAACTATCTGGAAGTATTTTACATAAAAAATTTACTAAGTATTGCCCGGTTTGTAGTTGCAGTTAAAGAAAACACATGAAAAGGCACGATTTTTTTTAAATTCGAAAAAATTTAAATATTTCAAAAACGGTGACACTTTTACCTGAAAATTTTTTGTTTATCAGTGAGCTCACCCCCCCACCTACCTTGCCCTAAAGTTTGGCACGTTACTTCTGGGACACCCTGTATATGTACATATATAGTAATACACTGCATTACAGAATAAATATTATATTATTATTGAACCACTGGGGATCAAGTAAACTGGTGAGTTATTACAATTTGTTTATGAAGTATATCAACAGGATGTTCTTAGAGACTACAACATTTTAGAAAAAATTACATATTATAAAATATTATTGAGGTTACTTAAATAAGATTCAAGCAGATTTCGGAAAATACCCTTTGGCATAGAGAGATCAAGGTCTAGAGTACTAGAAATCGTATTGAGTTCTTGCACAGTTCTATTTAAGGGAGCATTTCGGCTGTAAAGAGTTTTGCTAATAGCGACTCGTAAATAAATCATTATGCCGAAAAATTCTGCCGGGAACATTGAAATAAATTCTGCTGAGCAATAAGGGGCAATCAACGTTACCGGAAATTACATCGAAAATGATGGGAAATTGACAGGTTAAGCAGCGGCATTAAGTTAATTAATTGACACCGTGAAAAATAGGATGGGATAGGGTCGGAGAAGTTAAGCGATCTTAAGGCGTGTCGGATAAACACGCGCTGGACTGACTCAATCTTGTTTATGTGGACTTGGTAATAAGAGGTCCATTCAATATCAAAAAATTGTTACCAATAGTTACTAGTACTTGCAAGTTTTTACTGGAAATGCATTCGATAACCAAAAATATTTGCTAGAGAGAGCGAATTCGAGAGCGTAAAAACCCGAGAGAGCTGCAAATCCTTGTAAGTAAAAATTTTATTAGCAGGAATAATTACACTGGTCTACAAGGGTTTTGCGAATAAGACGGGACCTGGTGTTTCCGAACGGATTTTTCGTGCTGAACACGAATCTGGGGTCCAAAACTTCCCATCACGTCACGTTTTCGAGAAAAAAGGGGTTGAAACCCCTAAAAACAGCGTTTTTGGCCATTTTTGAAAAATTGTAGAGCTGAACCCTGACGTGCTACAAACTTTGTATATGTCAGAAATTAAAGGCTAAATCGTGCCCTTTCGAATGAGCCCTATGCCGAATTAATCGCATGCACCCTTAGATCAGGGGGTGTATTTGTGTCTAGGAGTCCAATTTTTATATCCACCATATTCGACCCGTCATCTTAAATTTTTAAAATCTAACTGCAGATTCGTAATCAGCGACTTTTAATATAGTTAAAACCTTGGCATTATTAATTTTCTATGATCGTTTAAGATTAAATTCTTTCTGTGATCAATTTTTCCTGCACCCCTAAACACAAATACACCCCCTGCTTTAAGGGTGCACGCGATCAATTCGGCATAGGGCTCATTCGAAAGGGCACGGTTTAGCCTTTAATTTCTGATATATGCAAAATTTGTACCACGTCAGGGTTCAGCTCTATAATTTTTCGAAAATGGCCAAAAACGCTGTTTTTAGGGGTTTCAAGGGATTCGTGTTCAGCACGAAAAATCCGTTCAGAAACACCAGGTCCCGTCTTATTCGCAGAAAAAAAGTTGAAATTTGTAGACCAGTGTTATTTTACATTAATTAAATTTTTGTAAGAACTATACAACATATATATAAAGTACGTATACTAAATTAAAGGGAATCAAATTTCCAGATCCATCCATTCGTTTTTAAGAAATCTTGATTTATGAACTTTAACCTTTGATAATTTTTGATGTTGTTGTTTGCCCAAAAAAAGAAGTATACCGTTAAACTCAGCTTAATCATCTCTAGCGATTCCAACATTTTTTTTTTTTTTTTTTGAGATTTGGAGCCCAACTGCATTTGTTCTAAACCAATAAGTGCTTCAGGGCACTGATGGGGCTTACGTTTTTAAGAAATCTTGATTTAAAAAATTGCGTATTTTGAACTTTAACCTTTGATAATTTTTGTTGTTGTTGTTTGCCCAAAAAAGAAGTATACCGTTATACTAAGCTGAATCATCTCTATCGATTCCAATATTTTTATTTTTTTTTTGAGATTTGGAGCCCAACTGCATTTGCTCCAAACCAATAAGTGCTTCAAGGCACTGATGGGGCTTACAGTGTATATTTGTTGTATGGAAGTTCCTTTTCTTGGTCGCTATTTTACACTAGGTTAATCATGTTCAGTAATTAATGTAAACATTTAATTGTAATCAACTTAAACACTTTCTTCAATGAAAGCGCCCCCCAACTATTTCGGGCTATTCCGTCCAAAGGGGTGGCCCGATCCAAAAAAAATTCCACCACTTGTAGTCAAGAGTCTACACATTATTTTAACACCCACTTTTGTAATTTTTGGTCACTATCTTATTTACAAATTGGGTTTGAAATATGCTCTTTTTTGTAAAATTCGGAAATTAGCGAACATTTATCACTCCTATTCTCCTTAAAGCAGCCACTTCACCAATATATTTTTGTATTCCCCTTCACTTTACACTTTACTCGATTAGTTATAGCTTTCTTTACGACTTTAATATTAACCAATTAACCACAATTCAATAAATAAAAACACCTTCAAAATCACGCGTCTGACTTTGGTTGCATATGCAAATTAAATAGCGGAGTTCAGCTGTCAAACTCCAAAATATGCAAAATGAGAGACAAAAGAAAATAGGATATAACCCAGTAAGCATTAAAAATAAACAAAGGTGTTCTCTGCAAAAGGTGTTCAGCTCCTTTTCTTCGCAAAACAGAAAGAGAATTCTATTTTGTGAGGGTTATAATCCCTAAGTGCAGCCGAAGGCCGCCTACGCGGAAAGGTTTTCTCTGCAAAAGGTGTTCAGCTCCTTTTCTTCGCAAAACAGAGAGAGAATTCTACTTTGAGAGGGTTACAATCCCTAAGTGCGGCTGAAGGCCGCCTACGCAGAAAGGAATTCTACGCAAAAATACATTTGCTAATAAGAAATTTTTTTTTTTTAAAAACTTGTTTTTTCTATTTTCAATTATTCTTTATTCAAAATCGCCCGATATCTAATTTGGCATAATTTCTTTTATTAAAAAATCCCACGGTTTCTGTTAGTTGGGTCATATTCCACTTCAAACTGCTCAGTTTGAATAAGAAAATTCCGTTTTTCCCCCTTTTTCAAACGGTTCCCTAGGGGCCTGTGGAATGAGCCCAAGGGGGGGAGGGGTACGCCTTTTTAGAAAGTGGGGACTGTCCCCTTTCTAGTGGGGGGGCCCTCCCCCTCCGCCCCCCACCCCAAAAACGATGGGTCAGCTACTAAACATTTCCCTATATTTTTGTCAGCTAAAGCACCAACAGTACTCTGAGGCAAGTATTCACGTTTGCTCACCTAACGGATAAGAAACAGAGTGAAATGAAATTTGAATGCCTAATTTTAGCTTGTCGGACCGAAATTAGTCTAGAAGAAATTTTCCGATAATTTTTTTCACTACTGACCGTGTGACAGGACCCATAGAAATGAGTGTTGGGGCCCTGTCTCACGATCAATATTTATTAATGTGATCCAAGTATCGCGATATTTATTGACCGTGTAGCATGCAATATTGATGGATCGTAATCCACATCGCAAAATTTCTAGAAATTCTGAAACCTGGATCGCGGATCGTAATACCGTCAATAAATATTAACGTGTAGCGTTTTCAAAACGCGATCCCTACATTTTGTACTCTAATAATGCGAACATCGAAAACATATTCGCTCTGCCTTTGCGCTCTCTGCTTAAAACCTTTCCAGAGAAATTGAAAGCATTTAAATTAACATTGGATATTTTGAGAATCGTGCACTTCTGAAAATGTATGCAAAATAATTGAAAGGGGTATCTAACGACCAGTATTACTGCCAGTATTAAGAATCCGAGATCGTAAGCTTATTTTTTATTGCAAATTTTCATTATTTATCGAAGTATCGATTTTTATAAAAAAAAATGTATCACAAATTTTCGATATATGTACATCGATATAAATTTACAATTGCACTCATATTTTTAAAACGTATGGCAACACACATTTGCTCTTACTGTCGGCGGGTACTGTTTATGAATTTGTACAACGATTTTCGGTTGCTGTGCCCAAACGCGTGAATCGAATCAAAAACCTTATGGCTACTGTACACGAGTGAGACATAGTTGCTTAGTGTGCTGATTTTAAAAATTCAAATTCAACGTCACATTTTTTCACATTTGTTTAGTCTGTTATAATTATTCAGCGTTTGTAATTCGTTTATTACTATGGCTACTGTACACAAGTACACGAGTGAGACATAGTTGCTTAGTGTGCTGATTTTAAAAATTCAAATTCAACGTCACATTTTTTCACATTTGTTTAGTCAGTTATAATTATTCAGCGTTTGTAATTCGTTTCCTCATTTGAAATAAATTTGAGTTGCCGTTTTATATGAACTCGAGTGCCTACAACCTTTTACACACGCTTGCAGACAACAGTTCACGCTTTATTACAAAAATTTAATTTACTAAATCTGTGCACTAATTTAACAATAATGTCGGTTGGAAATATGGTATTTGTTGCAAATTTCCGAAATATATGTACAATAATTACTCTTATTCTGCCTTAAAGCAGCCACTTAATATCTTCATTTTATGTTTAATTAAAATTGCTATGAAAATCACCTGCGCGCTTGTGATTGTATATGGAAATTAAATGGCGGAGCTGAGCTGTCAAACATAGAAATCACTGGGGCGGCAGCACCAGGTTTACCACACAGAAAGGGAATTCTAGTTACCTCATCCTTTCCCCAGGCTACATCACTGGGGCGGTAGCCCCAGTGGGTGCACACCAAAAAGAGGATTCTATTTGGTAAGGGTTATAATCCTAAAGCGCGACCGAAGGCCGCCTACGCAGAAAGGTGTCTAAAAGCTAAACAACTTTTTAAATATCCTTATTACCCCTTTTTTAAATTATATATATATTTTTTTAATTTTTTTATTTTTTTATACTTAATGTTTCCTAGTGTGGCAACCTGGCTGAACTAACGAAACGATGGCAACCCCGCATGCGAAAGAAGAAAAGAAAGCGGACATAGCAAGTGCACTTAATCGTGCGACAGAATATCTTCTTAGCAATCGACTCGCCGGCGAATACAGACTTAATTACTTTTTCATCTACATTTAAAATAGAAACAAGTTCCTTGTAAAGATTAATATTTAGATATTAAATAATACCGAAGTATTATATGCGAATTTGATTCGTGTTTAAATAAATCGAAAAAAACACTTTGACTCATTAAATCCCACAAGTGGTGACCCCGTAGTAAAGACGGAGATAGTGAGTAAAAGACGTGCATCAAATCACCGTGCTAAGGCGTGCAGAGCAAACTTGCGCGTTAATAGCTGGGGAAAAATAATCTCGCTTTGATTTGAAGCGCCTCGAAAATTCAGAGCAAAACCTGCATAACCAGCTCACCGAAAGCGTAAGTATAGTTCAGGTGTCACGCCACCGAAAATTCGTCGACTATACACAAGCCGGCAATCATAACGGCTCACGAAGTAACGGGCCACCGTAATACCAACGTGACCCGGCAACATGAGCTTGAATAATAGCACGGAAAAGCTCGCAAAAGACGACACTAACGCTGCCGCGAACGACAGCGGAAACGTCAACGCAGGCGTCGACAGCGACAGACCGCAAATCAATGCGGTATTCGGAAAATTACCGTTTCCAAAACTCAACTCAAGTACAATATCGAATCATGGTTCATAAAGGTGGACGCATGGTTCGAACTGCATGGTTTTGGTATACGTAAAGAAAAAGATAAGTATACCGCTATTGTTGCACATGCTGACGACTACATACTAGACCAGGTTTTCGATCTGGTGCGCCGCCCACCAACCACGGCACCATACACCACGTTAAAAATGGCCATCATTGAAAAATTCAGCGATTCAGCAATGGGCTGGTTCGACAAACTTACGGGAATCCAGTTGGGCGACGGCAAGCCAAGCCACTTGCTCAGCCAAATGCAACGAACAAACGCCACGAAAGACGAGTCCGTCATACAACAGTACTGGCTCAAACAATTGCCGGAAGCTGCTCGCGACGTTATCGCCGGTATGCTTCAGGCGCAGCCAAGTACGCCACTACTTCAACTCGCCATCACTGCCGATGCGGTCCTCGACGCACTAAGTCGCGACTCAAATGCAACAGCACCAACCAGGGGGCCATCCGTCAACGCTATCGAAACACCTACCAATCGACTCACTGTGCTTGAAAAACGAAGCGAAAAGCAAGACTCCGTTCTCGAAAATATCAACAGCAAGTTGAGCCAGCTCATGTCCCGAAAACGCAGCCGACAATGCGAACGTCGTCTGGTGAATGCTAAACGCGCGCACACACCACATCGCAGCTCCAACGCAGAACAATCACCGACCTGCTGGTATCACCGGGAATATGGTACTCAGGCTCGAAAATGCCGAAGTCCATGCGATTTTCCCATAAAAAAGACAGACCCAACAAAAAACTAAACACTGCCGTAACGACTAAGCTCGACAGTTCCGGCAGCACACCATCATCGAGCAACCAATCCCAATGCGAACTCGAGGTAAAATTTTCTGAGTTTCCTAAATCCAAACGTTTTCTTTAAACTAGATCGAATGTCATATCAACTATTTGGTGACAGGTAATAAGATCAACGGAAATAAGGTCAATTGACTTTATTTCCCACCCTGGTGCGAAATAAAGTCAATTGACATTATTACCTTTTTAAAAACGAAATAAAATCAATTGACATTATTTCTCTTTCAAATATTAAATTTGCTTAGCTTCGCGGCGGCCCGCGTCAGCGCGCCACACCGCGCGCGTCGCGCTCGCGCTCGCGCCCCGCGTACCCCGCGCGACCGGCGCGCACACCACGTCACGCTACGCCGCGGCCCCCCCGGGCCCCCTTCCCCGTCTCCCGCCGTGCTGTAACGCAGGTAGATTTATTTTTTGTATACGTTGAAATAAAATTTGTATATATTTTAAACATCGAGGGCTTATATTCAATAATACTCTCTATCTGCACACTTTTCACAAAGATGAGATTCTGATATAAAAATCCACCTAAGCTTTAACTGTCATCAGTGATATTAATGCTACCTTATATAACGACAGGTAATAAGTCCCAGATGGTTTCTAAAATCACAAATTAGTTTTTGTGCAAATTGCAGATAGAGGGTATTAATGAATTCAAGCCCTCGATATTTCAAATTTTTATATTTGTAAGTTATTAGAAGCAGGGATGCCAACTTGTCTCAAACCGTGCCATTTGTCCCTATTTTACTTCAAATTGCACTTATTTTTTCAATTTGGCACAAAGTGCCAAAATGGCACTTTTGTAAAAAAAATTACATTTCAATACATTTTTGTGAAATCCTTTGCGTGTACTTCTTTTTCTCAACTAAAATTTTCTAATTTATAAAGGCTATTCAACTGGTTCATCTTATTTTATCATTGCACTTTTGTTTGGAAAATGTAGCTTTATTTTATTGCTAAATGTGAATGATTAAAATGAATGACACCTTTTTTGGCACCTTTATTTTTCTATTTGGAACATTTTGGCACTTTTTATTTATTGTTGTAGTGCCTTTTTACTGTTTTACTGTTTTTTAAATGAATTGTAGTTTAATGAATGTGGTTTTCCGAATTTGTTTTTTAGTGATAAGTGTTTTTCATCTATAAATATGTTATTTTTCATTTAAAAACCTGGCTTATATTTTGATAATTACTACACAAATCCAAGCTTCACACTGTGTACGTAATTTAGAAGTATTTGGCAAAGTTTCATCAAAATTGCAAACTTTTAAATAAGAATTTATCTAAATTTAGAAATTCTTATTAAAAAGTTTGTAATTTTCATTAAACTTTGGAAAATACTTCTTAACTATGTATTCAGTTTAAAACTTGGATTTGTATGGTGTTTGTTAAAATATAAGCCATGCTTTAAAAACAAATAAAAAAACATTTATGGCATGAAAAACATTGCGAATATTTACAAAAAATCACCTTTTTAATAAATGAATTATTTAATTTTTATTTATTGAAAGCTTAGCTTTATTATTACTTATTTGGTACATTTTGGCACTTTTTTATCCTCAATATGGCACCTCATAACTAAGGATAGTTGGCAGCCCTGATTGGAAGATTTCTGCTGTGTTTTGGGGCAATCAACTTGTCTGCAGTAAAAAAGCATATAATTTGTGTTTCAAAGTGTGAGAAAACCAATTAATTAACTTATATGATCTCGGTTCCGATATTAAATAATCAATAATTGTTTATACCCGCATTTTGGTACATTGGCTCGTTGAATGTGCCATCTAATAAATAGTGTCGTCATTCTCCTTAGCTGCTTTTAAATGATGTTTTCACAAATTGCTGGCGGAGACATTGTTTCCTTATAGAAAGGTTGGTTTCTTTTCCACCTTAGACATTCCGAGTTCGTTCAAAATATGCTAATTTAAAACACAGAATTCTTTCAGGGTTCCTCCGGGGTTTTTGGACATGGACTGTTTCTTCAATTTAATAGTGTTCGCTTTATTTTTGTGGAAACGAAACATGTTTTGCAAGTTATGGATCATTTCTACACTCTTTCTTAAAATATTTCTCGTATTCCAGCTGTGCGTTTTTACATATTCGTAATTTAAATTTTTTTAATAAAATCAATTCGTGGGAGTTCAAGATTGTGTGTGGATTAATATCACAACACTGAGGATTTGGCTATAACCTTTTTCATCTATTAAAAAACAACACTTACGGGGCAATGTTTATTGTAAGAACAACATTTTTTTCTATGAATCGACATACTTTAAGCATTGTTGACGCTATTTCCATTTGAATGAGGAAATAGCGTCAATGACTTTATTTCCAAATTTTTGTTGACTTTATTTCGCTTTTGAAAAGGTAATAATGTCAATTGACTTTATTTCGCACCAGGGTGGGAAATAAAGTCAATTGACCTTATTTCCATTGACCTTATTACCTGTCACCAACTATTTTTGGTCGACACCGGCGCAGAAGTGTCGGTCGTTCCACCAACTCGAGCATGCCGCTTGTCAAATTCTGAAGGCAACCCACTTTTCGCCGCTAATGGGACCACCTTTAAAACCTACGGCGTAGTCCGTCGTACGTTCGACCTTGGTCTTCAACGCAAACTCGTATGGAACTTCGTCATAGCGGAAACTAAATACGCCATCATCGGTGCCGACTTCCTCTGGTATTTCAACCTAATCATCGACATCGGGAATTCGACACTGATAGGCACAGACAAAGCACAACCTCGACCAGGTATCTGCAGCTTCGGAGCAGCAACGAACATCGAAACAGAGAGTAGCTCCACCGAAATCGCAAACCTTCTTCGGGAATTTGGTGACATCACGAACCCTAATGCGCGGGCCCCATCGTACCACCAGATCCCTATCGAACCCGGCGACATACACAAAACGGCGATAACCACTCCGTTTGGGTTATTCGAGTTTACACACATGACGTTTGGCCTTTGCAACGCTGCACAAACGTTCCAAAGGTTTCGATTTCGTTTTTGTATACATCGATGATGTGTGTATCGCTTCTGAAGGCGTCGAGCAACATAAAGCCCACTTGCGGCAAGTCTTCGAACGTCTTCGCCAATTCCACCCAACAGTCAACTTAGAGAAGTGCAAATTCGCTCAAACGCAAATCCAATTCTTGGGACACCCAGTTACGGTGGAGGGCATCAAACCGTTACCCGAGAAGGTTCAAGCGATCATCCACTTCCCGGAGCCGGAAGTCGCCAAAGAGTTACGTCGTTTTTTGGCAATGATAAATTTGTATCGTCGCTTCCTGCCAAGCGCAGTGCAACACCAAATACCCCTCGTCAAATTAATACCAGGTAACCGAAAAAACGACACAACGCGAATCAAATGGACCGACGAGGCAATCAACCATTTCAACGAATGCAAAAAAGAACTAGCAAACGCAACGCTATTGGTTCACCCAGCCCCGAACGCCCGAATATCGCTCAGTACGGACGCCAGCGACACTGCCATCGGCGCAGCACCTCATCAAATTCTACACGATGAGTTTCAGCCACTGGCGTTTTTCAGTCTAAAACTCAACGAAGCACAACGGAGGTACAGTACCTACGACAGGGAATTACTCGCGGTATACCTAGCCATCAAACATTTCCGAGCCATGCTGGAGGGAAGACTCTTCGAGGTACGAACAGACCACAAACCGTTAGTCTACGCTTTCGCACAAAAACACGACAAAGCATCACCGCGACAGCTGCTTCATCTGGACTTGATCAGTCAATTTACGACGAACATCATACACGATGCAGGCGCCGAGAACACGACAGCAGACACACTATCGCGCATCGAAGCGGTTGAATCAATAACCATCGACTACCACCGGATGGCCGAAGATCAAGTTAGTTGCCCAGAACTGAAGAAACTTATCGAAGGCGACTAATCTCTGTGTTTGAAAAGATTGTGCATTCCAAACACAAGGCCCACAGGCATTCCTACTGCGATACATCTACATCGGAAGTACGCCCATTCGTACCACGCCCGCATCGCAAAGATATCATAGCATGCATAGCATCTCACACGGAGGCGTGCGCGCAACCACAAAGCTCATCAAAGCACGCTTCGTTTGGCCAAATATGGGCAAGGATATTGCCAAAGAAGTGCAACGATGTCTCAGCTGCCAAAGATCTAAGGTCAGTAGGCATGTTCGCTCACCTTTTCAGCAACTTTCTTTGCCGTCGTGTAGATTCGAACACATCAACATCGATCTCATTGGACCACTTCCGCATAGAGTGAATTTCAGTACTGCCTCACGATTATCGACAGGTATACGCGGTGGCCAGAAGCCGTTCCTCTGAGAGACATAACAGCGGAAACAGTCGCCAGAAAACTCATCAATGTTTGGTTTTCGCGCTTTGGCATACCAGCACGCATAACAACCGACCAAGGAAGACAGTTCGAGTCGCAGCTTTTTAACGAGTTGTCACGTATGCTGGGTGTAACCCACCTGCGGACAACGGCATATCACCCGCAAGCAAATGGCATCATCGAACGCCGGCATCGCTCACTGAAAACAGCAATAACGTGTCACGCAAGACAAGACTGGATAAGCCGCTTATAATCTTGCTAGGACTGCGCACAACATTCAAGCCCGACATCGGTACAACAGCCGCGTAACTTGTCTACGGTACCACATTACGGTTGCCTGGACAGTTTTTTAACGATAGGCAAATCTTCCGACCACAGTCGGACTTCGTCCGGCAACTCAAACCGCGAGTCATGATTCCTCAAAAGCATTCGTATTCAGCAAACTTGCCGATGCAACGCACATATTTGTACGCAACGATAAAGCGCGACCGGCGTTCCATCCGCCTTACGATGGCCCATATCCAGTGATCTCCAGACACCCTAAATATTACACCGTCAAAATCAACCGCAACAACGTAAATATATCCATAGACCGACTTAAGCCAGCATTCATCGAATCCCAGATACTCAATCAACGACAACCGCGACTCAACAACATTCAGCCACTTCGCACACAACACCATCATCTACAATATCATCGACACCCGAACAGTTGGCTCCGAAGGAGACATCAACAAACCGCAGCGGACGCAGGATAAGACTCCCCGTCCGTTTCCGGACGAAAATCCTGGGGGGAGCACTGTGGCAACCTGGCTGAACTACCGAAACGATGGCAACCCCGCATGCGAAAGAAGAAAAGAAAGCGGACATAGTAAGTGCACTTAATCGTTCGACATAATAGGAGTGTACGCGTACGCCCAACTATCTAAAGTTTTAGAAAACTTTTTGTTTGTGAAAAGTGCTACAATTTGTAAACACATTTATAAACGCGTTTTACTTAAACATTTGATTAATAGATATGTATTAAAAGTACTATATGCGGTGAACATTGTGCGAGGTTTTATTGCACATATTTTGCCGAAGTGTGTACGTAACAACAAATAACTTAAAAAATATAAGCCTCCCGCAGCTAAGAACTATGTATTTGCAATCAGAACTCCCCTACCGTTCCATAGCTACCTTTATGCGGAACTCCGGGGATGCCAAACTAAATTGCAGCCTCAGTAATTGCATTAAAAACGATATTTGCGTTGACTTCGCGAGAGTGCACCACGCTTTGAACAAAATGCCTTTATGGAGGGTGTAGAGGGGGTCGTACACATCACAAAACTGAACCGGACGACGAGGTAACTCGTAGTTTACGAGTAATTTGTTGTTAAAGTTGAACATTTCACCTAACAAAATGTACGATAACAAACCATTTCAAACAAATACAAGTGTGCAGAAACACACAAATTTCAACTAAATTAAGCTATTTGAACGTTCATCTGTTTTATATTTTGTTAGTTTCATTATTTAACGATGAGGAACACGTTTAAAAATAATTTGTTTATTTTCCATTAGACAACCGAAATAGTATGTATAAATGTATGTATGGACAATGACCGAAACGCAGATGGCCGCACGTGTGAGTAACGTGTTGCCAGATGTTCAAAGCGTAAGAATATTATAAAGGCGAACATGATAATTGATGCTTTATTATAAGGGTATTAATCAAACCTTATAAATGCATTGTAAACCATATAAACTTATAATTGTGTAAACCTTATAAATAAACTGTCAAAATTTGTGTGGAAACTCGTTTACGCGTTTCTGATAAATTTCTCCAGCGATTTCACTGAATAAACTTGATAAACTGAAGCCAATGCAACTCTGTCGCAACTCTAGCTATGTTTTCTTGGCAATAATCGGGATCCGCATAAAAATTTTGCACGCAAATTCAACAACAACGATATGACCCTGATAGAGATCTGGTTAAATTTTTATCCGTTCTGTTTGTTTTGTTTCACTGATAATTTGGCCGCACAGTTTGGTAGCAGTGACAAATGAATTCATACACAAACAGATATTCTGTCATTGTTTCTTTAAAATTGCTTCAAATAAATCGCCTTTATGTTATAAAGGGTGAACACACCAAAACTGCGACACTTAGAAATTACTACCAGAAACAAACTAGAAGGCTTTGAAATTATTATTTTTTTGTATTATATAACTTGGAAGTTTATATGTTATTAAAATGTTAAAATAATAGTTATTATTTGCTCCATATGCAAGTGATCGGTATTTTCATCGCACACGCGCCATCATGTTCTGCACGACTGCATCATCGACATTACGCGATGCGCAAAACTACGTTGTTTTGCACTCTTCAATAATTTTCACTCTTTCCCCTGTTTTCTTCAAGATTCCTTTGACAATTGACCAATATTCCCCAATAGGACGTGGCTCTGGGCTATTGGGTGGATTGCAGTCGTGAGGTACAAAATTGATGTTATTTGCATTATACCACGGCAATGTGTCCTTGGCATAGTGGCAGGTTGCCATGTCCGCCTAGAGCGATGGCCTACTCCTTATCTGTTGATAAATGACAGAAGACGCCTTTTGAGGCACTCATCCCGATAAAATTGATCATTCATTGTCCCGGATGGGAAAAAGGGGCTGCTCTTACGGCCGCAGGAACAAATAGCTTGCCAAGCCATGTGGTTTTTGGAAATTTGGACTTCATTTTCAGCTTACAACTTTCAGGGGCATCTTGACGACTTGCAGCAGTATAAAAATCTTGACCTGCAATATATGTTGAATTTTTATAGCAGTAGGTTTCGCAGTCCATAACAAAGCAGTTGTATTTTTTAATTTAGAATTCATACAACTTCCGAATGCGGGTTTCGCTGTAACATTCTACTTTGCACCTCGGTCTGGCGCTGATTGAGCTGTAGAACATCTCAATGAAGCTTTCCGCTTTACCTTTTGTACGAAAAACTGCGATCTCCGTACGGATTTTGCAACATAATGCGACAAAATCTTTGTTTTTACCACTTTGAGCATGCTAACCCTCGCTCCCTGGTTTTCTCGTAACTGCCAGGCCTTATTTGTAACGATTAAAACCCTGGAAACTGTCGAATAGTGCACTCTTTAATTTTTTAGCAATTTTACGTGTACTTAAGGCCGGATCATTTATAAACTCGTGCAAAATGGTTTGTCTCGTTTCTAGCTCGGTTGCCATTTTTAACTCAACTAGGAATCAAATTTAAATAAAATTTCTTCTACGTTCAACTAAGGTCATGGTTAACTTATGGTATTTGAATTTCAAAATATTGAATTCGTTTTGGGTAAGTTATAAGCTTCACCCTTTATGTGCATTTATTTAAATAGATATTATCTCGTGAATATAATTTTTTCCCATTTAATGAGTTAGTTTCTATAATTTCTTTATCCTCGTGCTAGTAATATAAAGTTAGTGATACTGAGCTCGATAACCAAAGAAAACACGACTATTGTCGCAAGTGTAAACGAAAAGAGTGTGGGTCGTTCATGAAAAGAGTGCGTAAACTTATAAGATTATCTGCTTGATAAAGCTATGTGTTTAGATGAACACCAATTATGAGTTTAATAACTATTATGAGTATTATGTGTGCAGATAATGTCATTTTTCAGTAAAATGATAATAATTATTGATTGTATGATTTAAATATACATCATAATTATAGTATAGTCCCTTTTATTGTTGAGAAGTTCTGCTCAAAAATACTTCTGCTCCTTTTCTTCACAACACAGAAGGAGGATTCTACTTTGTGGGGGTTATTATCCTTCTGCTTCTTTTCTTCGCACCTCAGAAATGGAATTTTCTGGGACCGGCCTGACGACGGTTGTCGCGCTCATCGGCTAGAACAGCCGCTTCAGCAGGGAAGTTCGGACGTGGATCCTTAATACATCCTGCTGGGACGAAGCGAGCTGCAGCAGCTGTGACTACCCTGCGGAATTTACGTTCACCTACGTGAACGTCGGTTGGTATGGGCAGTGCAGTGAAGGCGCCTTCAGTAACATCCGCGAAGCCTTTCCAGCCAGCTTTGGAAAAGTTGATATAGGTCCGGTGATCCACGGAAGCAAAGTCGGCATTTTTATCAATCGAGATGACTATGGGCAGATGGTCTAATGCTAGGGTCAGCATAGGTCGCCATGATACGCTGTTCATAAGACCAGCGCTGACAATTGTTAGATCTGGCGAGCTGCAGCAGCTGCCCATAATCCTGGTGGGTGCGTCGTCTTTCATTGTGCAGAATGTCGTATCGTCTATCTGCTCAGCCGGATGTATTCCCCTATGATCATTTGACAGGCTTGAGTGCCAAAGATCGTGGTGCGCGTTAAAGTCACCAACTACCATACGGTTTTCAGCTCTGAGTAGCGCACCTATATCAGGGTGATATCATGCCGGGCAGCTGGTGACAGGGGGTATGTATACGTTAAATATTTCGAGCTCAACATCGCCTGATCGGATAGCAATACCCTGACATTCTAGGATGGTATCCCTCCGGTCGATGTCTGCTTCAACAAGACGATACTGCACGGTGTGTTGCGTGATGAACGCTAAACCTCCACCATTGTCTCGCTCACGATCTCGACGGTGCACGTTGTATCCGGCGCAATTCAACAGCGTTAAGACAGTTATCTCCTTGATCTTGCTCTGGAGACCGTTACAGTTAAATTGTAGCACCTTTGTGTGCCTTGGGAGACCGATTGTGATGTGTGGTGTTAAGGAGTTGTGTTGCCTGCCGGCTCCCTGATGTACGTGCTGCAAAAGGGGGTGCTGCCTTGTGGTGGTGGTTGGCGGCGTCGCGGGGGAGGGATGCGACTGGGCAGCACAGCAGAGGCCCACATAGTCACTCGTCCAATCTCGCGTGTTGTGAAGTCCTGATCATGCCCTAAATTGGCACCAGCGATGGCAGGAGTTGCACTTTACTGATGTCACGTTACGGTATATTCTGGACTGACGAACAGATCAGATTGTCGGAGGGACTAGGAGTTGCCGACGGCGGTGTGTGGGTGCTATTGTGTTTGTTTGTGTGTCTATTGTTGTGTTGTGTTTGGGTGTGGATGTGTTGGTTGTGTGCTGCCCGGGCGGGTGGTGGTTTTCCGTGGAGGCGGTCCGGTTCGCACAGTATGGGGCCACGAACGACGTGGTCCATTGCCGGCGCGTACGTAGGCCCGAGCAGTTCCGGAGTTAACTCCACCCGTCACAGGCATTATACCTGACCGAGGTGGAGTTTGTATGCAGTCGTCTCTGGCATACGCAGCAGGTGTAAATTTCTGGCCCTGGGTTAGACTCTATACCGGCCCTGAGCAGAAGGGTACGGAGCAGATGTAGCCCTAGAATCGAGCAACGTTTGATGGATTTCGCCGACCTAAACGGGGTTAGATCGCCGAAACAACAGCCCTTGGACGGGTAAAACCCCGGGTCATTCCGGTACGTAGAACCGGCTGGCGTGGCCCCTAAGCTCCCCCCATTTGAAAGGGGACAGTCCCCACTTTACCGAAAGGCGCACCCCCTCCCCCCCATTCGGAGCCTCCCACGGACCACTAGGGAACCGTTTGAAAATGGGCGAAAAACGGCATTTACCGAGGAAAATTTAGCAGTTTGAAGTAGAATATAACCCAACTAACAGAATCTGTGGGGTTTTTAAATAAAAGAAATTATCCCAAGGTGGTTATCAGGCGAAAGAAAGGGGGCTGAACACCTTTCGCAGAAAACACCGCTACCGCCCCAGTGATGTAGCCTTGGGAAAGGATGAGGTAATTAGAATTCCCTTTCTGTGTGGTAAACCTGGGGCTACCGCCCCAGTGATGTAACCTTGGGAAAGGATGAGGTAATTAGAATTCCCTTTCTGTGTGGTAAACCTGGGGCTACCGCCCCAGTGATGTAACCTTGGGAAAGGATGAGGTAATTAGAATTCCCTTTCTGTGTGGTAAACCTGGGGCTACCGCCCCAGTGATGTATATTAGTTATTAAATTAAATTAATTAAATTAAATTAATATTTGCCATGGAAAGGTTTATATTTTTAATGCTTAGTGGGTTATATCTTATCTTCTTTTGTCTCTCATTCTTTTGCATATTTTGGAGTTTGACAGCTGAACTCCGCCATTTAAAGGTAAGACCGCACTAAGCGACGCGACACTGCAGCGGCACTACGCGACACGGCGCGACACTTTTTGGTATATCGCACTGAAACTGCAGCAGCGCGACACTTCGCTGCAAATTTTTTAATTTATTTCCTTCAAACCTTTAAAACCTTCAAACAAGATGGATGCCAGTGACGCTGATGTAATGTTAATGCCTTTTATTTTTATTTTCCTTGGCGAATTCTTCTCAAATATTGTTTCTTTACATATAATTTTCTTCTTGAATGAAATCCATGTGAATATTCACTCACAACTGGAAATCCAATTACCTCAAGTCAAAAATATAGTACGAAATGTTATGTCGTACCGCTAGGTATACCGCACTATGCGGCACCGGAACTGTGCGACACCACGCGGCGCGACATTTTTGCCTACGTTCCCACGACAGTCGGGTCTACGTAACCGGTACGACCCAGATTTATATCTGGCCAAGGACTGTCACTCCAGCAACACTCCCCAAAAAGTCTTTGGGGAATTTGTATGCTGTTACAACAACAACAACAACATTTTTGCCTAGTTGGTCAACTTTGCCGAGTCGCGTAGCTCCGCTACAGCGTAGTGCGGTATGCTCCATAAGAATACATGCAAAGAATATTGTGCCGCGCTGTGTAGTGTCGTGTCGCGTCGCCTAGTGCGGTCGTACCTTAATTTTCATATGTAACTAAAGTCAGACACATGATTTTAAAGGTGTTTTTATTTAGTGAATTCTGATTAATTGGTTATATTAAAGTCATAAAGGAAGTTATAACTAATCGAGTAAAGTGTAAATTGAAGGGGAATATAAAAATATATTGGTGAAGTGGCTGCTTTAAGGAGAATAGGAGTGATAAATGTACGCTAATTTCCAAATTTTACAAAAAAGGGCATATTTCAAACCCATTTGTAAATAAATTAGTGACCAAAAATTACAAAAAGTGTTAAAATAAATTAATACATTTTTTTGGATCGGGTCACCCCTTTGAACGCAATACATCGAAATAGTTAGGCCACGTACTAAATAGTACCCTTTTTTTTTTAAGCGCCCGACCACCAAGGCCCCCTATGGGTCCCTAGGGACCCCTTATAAAAATGGCCATAAATCACAATTTTTACTTACGTCCACAGTATTTTTGCGCAGAATTCCTTTCTGCGTAGGCGGCCTTCGGAGGCGCTTTAGGATTATAACCCTTACCAAATAGAATTCTCCTTTTGGTGTGCACCAACTGGGGCTACTGCTCCAGTGATGTAGCCTGGGGAAAAGGATGAGGTAACTAGAATTCCCTTTCGTGAAATTCGTCATAGATTTGTGAAAATAGCTAAAAACCGATGTTATGGTAATGGGGTTGGCCCCAAACTCATACGCCAAAAACTCTTGACACCAGTTAAAATTGTTTCAGCTTGCATTAATAGGTATTTTTACTTGAATATCACTTTGGTATAAAGTAATATCGTTTAAAAATGTCGTGCGAGAAGCCATTTGCAACTCAGCGTAAATGCTTCAATATAAACAATGAAAGGAATATGTTGCCACATGGGCCAAACTTTATGAAAAATATAAATATAATGCTGCAGAACACCTTTTGCAGAGACCACTTTCTAAGTAGGCGGCCTTCGGCCGCGCTTTGGGATTATAACCCTCACTACGTAGTATTTTCCTTTCTGTGTTGCCAAAGAAAAGGGGCTAAACACCTTTTGCAGAGAACACCTATCTGCGCAGGCGGCCTTCGGCCACTCTTAGGTATTATAAGCCTCAGTACGTAGAATTCACCTTTCTGTGTTGCCAAAGAAAAGGGGCTGAACCATTTTGCATAGAACACCTCGTGATTTTTTATAACAGATTTTCGCCTGCGTCGCTTTTTCAATAAAAATCGATACTTCGATATACAGGGTGTCCCAGAAGTAACCTGCCAAACTTTAGGGGAAGGTAGGTGGGGGCGGAGCTCTCTGATAAACAAACAATTTTCAGGTAAAAGTGTTTGAAATATTTAAATTTTTTTTAATTCAAAAAAATCGTGCCTTTTCATGTATTTTCTTTAACTGCATCTACAAACCAGGCTATACTTAGTAATTTTTTTATGTAAAATACTTCCAAAGCTACGAGGGCACTAATGGTATGCAAACGCCTAGCAGGGAAGACCTGGGGCTGTAGTCCCAAGATCCTGAGATGGATGTATACCATGATAGTTAGACCAATAGTCACCTATGGAGCAGTGGCTTGGATCTCGAGAACCACTCTCACCACGGTGAGGCAATCCCTCACCAAGCTTCAACGTCTGGCATGTGTATGCATTACGGGGGCAATGCGCACATGTCCGACGGCAGCGCTGGAGGTGGTTCTCGAGCTCGAGCCGCTGCACCTTACCATAGAACAGGCTGCAAAGCGAACTCTACTAAATTTCGCGAGAGAAGGCTTTGGCAGAGGCAAAACCCTATCTTTAAGGAACAGAGACAAGCTAGGCTCCCAAGTTCCGTTAGCTTTACTCCCCAGAGACGACAGGCCTAAGGTGGTTAACTTTGACAGGAATTTCAAAATAGAGCTTTGCACCAAGTCGACTTGGAGCACCTCTCTCATGGAGAGGCTTATCCAATCGAGCTCGTTGCAATGGTACACAGACGGCTCGAACACTCCGGAAGGCATTGGGGCTGGCGTCTACGGGCCGAGGCTACAGCTCTCGATACCCATGGGGGCATACCCGAGTATCTTCCAGGCGGAGGTCTATGCCATCAGTCTGTGTGCAGAGATTAACCTACGTAGGAATTACCGTAACGAGAGAGTTTTAATATTGAGCGACAGCCAGGCGGCACTCAAGGCCCTCTCATCATTAGAGGTCAAGTCGTCCTTGGTTCTTGAGTGCATCGATAGGCTCAACANTTAGAGGTCAAGTCGTCCCTGGTTCTTGAGTGCATCGATAGGCTCAACAGCCTGGCGGAGCACAACGAAATCCAATTAACTTGGGTGCCAGGTCACATAGGAGTTGCGGGCAACGAGGAAGCGGACCGACTAGCTAGAATGGCGGCCGCCCCGTCGCCTATACGGCCTGAGCCCTTCCTAGCGATTGGACCTAGCACAATCAAGGAAGAGCTGAGGAAAGAAAGGAACAGACTAAGGAATCAACACTGGGGTAACACTACAGGTCTACGTCAAGCAAAACACCTACTGGGAGGCTACAACCTTACGAGGTACGGGGAAACTTTGAATCTATCCAAAGGAAAACTACGGATTATAACAGGTNGGTAACACTACAGGTCCACGTCAAGCAAAACACCTACTGGGAGGCTACAACCTTACGAGGTACGGGGAAACTTTGAATCTATCCAAAGGAAAACTACGGATTATAACAGGTTTTCTGACGGGTCACTGCAGACTGAGAGGCCACCTACACAAGCTAGGGATCTGGTCAAACGACCTATGTCGTTTCTGCGACGTGAATGAGGAGACTCCCGTGCACCTGCTTAGCGAATGCGAGGCGGTCGAGAGAAGACGGGAGGGTACCTGGGCCATTACTGGCCAAGTGACAAAGCAATACAATCGCTAATCCCTGGGGCTCTCTAGGATTAGATGAGGTACTGTAAATGGTTGACGGCACAATAGACCTTTTGGTCGCAGTGCATACCTCTATTAATTATCTATCTATCTATCATAAAATTATGACTATTTTGGGATTTTTAACATTTTGATATTTTCTTCCCCAACTTTGACTATCTCTGGTGAAAAAAAACATGTACTGAGCTATAACTGTACATTACATAAAAAAAATTGCTCATTTAATAAAGATTTCAGAAAGGTGCCACTCTTACTGCTTGGAATAGAAAAAAAAGTTATCGCCGCTTTTGTGGGCAAAGGACTGAGACACGCTAGAACGTATTTAATAGATTTAAATTTAAGTTGCTCTTGTTACCGACCAATGACATGCTAAATAGTACAAAGGTACATTATTACCTGCTCCTGACATTATTTTATGTTACTTACCGGAATTCGGACTAGAGTCTATAACAAGGGCTATATCTATCTATATCTATATCTATTTAACTGTTTAGTTATTTCCACAATTAATTACCCCACATAACAGTCTGTACTCCGGGTAAACATATTCAATATTTATTCCATTCAGATTGAGTGGCAATACCGCACATCAGCAGGTGAATTTTGCGCTGAGCACACGAAAATTGTTTACATTTTAATTAATAAAATATATAAGTTTTTAGTGATGTATTTAGCGATATTTTGACATATATGACCAAAATGAAGTATTGTTGTTGTATGTATAGTGAAATTTGGGCATTTTGTGCGTTTATGTGAGTGTAGTAAGTGAATAAAAAAAGTGCTATTGTGGAAAAGTTTTTTGTTAATAACTTTTGATCTGGTAAAAAAAAGTTAATTTCCGCGTTCGGATTCTTGTTATTGGGGTCCAGACGCGTCTAATGGTACCCCCTTTCCAAAATTGTGTCCAATTTTGGGGGTTGAAAGCCTACCTAGATAATTACCGCGAATCCTATTTGGTAGGGGTTATATACCTAAAGCGCGGCCGAAGGCCGCCTAAGCAGAAAGGAATTCTACGCAAAAACACTGTGGACGCAACTCCTATTTTTAGTTTTTTTCTAGCGTAACGATGGGTATTCTTTACTTGGTCCTATTCCCCTTTATAATATTCTTACGCTTTGAACATTTGGCAACACATCTTAAAAGTTATTCTAGCAACACGTTACCAGTGTTGCCACAAAAAATTACCAAATTCCTCAAAAACAAATGAAAAATCCTCAAACTCCGAACAAATTACTCAACACTTACTTATTTACTATGAACAGGTACTTAGCATAAAAAATAATTACATTCTCCAATTCAATTGGTACATTTGTTTTTGCGGTTCAAACAAAGTATCACCTTTATTTTTTATGCCTTGGTTTGTATACAATATTTCTGCTAGAGCTGTAAAAGAACCGAAATTTCGGATACCCGTATGTATTCGTTACTAATCCAATCAACACCCGTATCGTTCGTATCGTTACTTTACTCGTTACTTTTGATATAAGCACTTCCCTGCAAAAATCGCGAATACTCCATGCATGGTGTAAAGAGTACTCCCTAAGGACCAAAGAGTACTCCACAATTAACCACAATTCATATAAAAAATATGGTCCAATTAACATTGCGATGTCCTAGGGCAGGACCATATACTCCATCCCTGCATTACATCAGAGTAGCACAAAACTACTCCAACATATTAACAATGGCATTGTTGTTATATTTTTTCGTTTGTACACGCTTTTGTTCTTCACTTCTCAAATGCTTTTTCGAAATTAATAAAAACCAAGACAAAAATTAAAAATTACATGTTGCCTCTGATGGCATTCGAACCCGAACATGCTGGGAGCTAAGAACTAACAGCGAGCATCTCTACACGTTCAGCTACAGCCAGACATGCAAACGTGCTTTCAAATGCTCAACTTCAATCACATTTCGTTAAAACACGAGCAGTTATCGGATAACAAACAATAAGCTGGCGCAGAGACACGAGTTGGTCCGCTACAGCATGACAGAGGAACACTTTTGTAAGTACTCCAATTTACCACAAATTGACTACATGGTCCAACGATTTTTGCAGGGTTGTACCTCACAAATGTTCGTTCTTCCATATGCATACATGTACATACATATATACATATGTATACACCCAACATATTTTTGCATCGATTCGAACAATTTGATACAGGCTGCGTTTCTTTATACATTCCGGATAATCCCATTTCACAGCCGGAATAAACATAATGCGTTTGAAATATACGTCAACATATCATCAGGAATGTTCTAAAGCATAAATAAACAAAAAAGTTTATTCCAAACGTTCAGAATGAATAAAGAAATGCAGCCACAATCAAGCACTTGTACCTCACAGGAATCCTGCATGCATGTATAGCCCAATCACTTTAGATTTTTTCAACGAAAAAATTCCGGGAAGAAATTTTTTGACGCAGTTAGGTGTCTCCTGTTTAGGTGAACACAAAATGAAAATTTTTCCCCCCAATTGCGATATGGGAAAAGTCCGCCATTTTGGATTTAGTGTTTTTACGATTTGCGCGCGAATTTTGCATTAGATTTTTTCAACGAAAAAATTCCAGGAAGAAATTCCTTGACGCAGTTTGGTGTCCCCTGTGTCCGCCATATTGGATTTTGTGTTTTTTACGATTTGCGCGCTAATTTTGAATTTCTCGCGAAAAAACGTAGAGAACAAATTTGTGGAGAATTCGATTCCCTACAATTTTCATGTGCCTATAATTTTTTTAAACAATTATTTATTGCAAAAAATGCGCAAAATTGGGTAAGTGACGCGGTTTTTTCGAATTTTGAGCAATTTCTATTTGAAATTAGTGACATATTTAAATGGGAAAGTGGTAGAGGACAAAATTTCCAATAAACGCATTATTTATATACTCGCGTACGACGTCTAGATCTTAACCAACAACGCGCTCAATGCAAAGGCAGAGGAAAGCAACTCAAAACTTTTTTCACAGTATCTCGGAGGTCGTGTTTTTTGGCGCGTATTTTCAACTGTGGGTTCACCAATAGGCCAAGCCCATGAATAACTATTTTCAGTCAGTTGAAACTGTAATTAGCAAATAGTTTTTGTCCTTTTATCAATAGGGCTTTTCTCTGATTCTAAAGTTTTATTGTGGCGAAAATAGCTATGTGTGGATTAGGACTACTGACGAAACCACATAGAAATAAGACGCGCCAATAATTTTACCTCTGAGGTGGTGTGGAAAAAAGTTTGGAGTAGCTTCTCCTTTTCCGCTGCATTGAGCCCGTATTTGGTCGAGATCTACACGTCGTACGTAAACATATAAATAATGCGTTTATTGGAAATTTTGTTCTCTACAACTTTGCCATTTAAATGTACCACTTACTTCAAATATAAATTGCTAAAAATTCGAAAAAACCGCGCCACTTGTCTAATTTTGGGCATTTTTTGCATATTATTAGCAATAAGTAATTGTTTAAAAAAAGTTGATAGGCACATGAAAATTGTAAGGAATCGAATTCTCAACAAATTTGTTTACCTTTTTTCGCGAGAAATGCAAAATTCGCGCGCAAATCGTAAAAAACTTAAGATCCAAGATGGCGGACACTTCCCATATCGCAATTGGGGCAAAAATTTTCATTTTGTGTTCACCTAAACAGGAGACACCTAACTGCGTCAAAAAATTTCTTGCCGGAATTTTTTTTAATCTTACGTTAATTTTGGTCTAAAGTAATCGGGCTAGTACGTACATATCGTCCCGTTTCTGCCTTAACCACGTATCTACAATTTTTGGGAAAACGAATATTACCACTTATAACAGCTGTTTGAGCGCCACACTGTTTGAAAATAGAACAAAGACTTAATGACGGTACTCACTACTGTTAGTGGAACCAGAAATATTAAGTAAAAATGCGTTTATTGTATCCTAGGGGAAGAAATTAAGCATTTTTTCTTACACTCTCTAAAATACCTCTATTGCAGATACGAGGTTAAAGCCCTGTATGCAGCTCTCAAGAAAACGGTCAAGAAAAAATTCCCATTATTTCGTGTGTGTATCCAAGGAATTTTGACATTTTTGATACCTCACAGCCTGTTGCCTCACTCTTTCCTCACGAAATAATGGAACGGGCATATATTTCTGTTGCAAACCTGGGTTGCCTTGTCCTCTTTTTTCGCACAAAACTTTAGAAAACCGTAGTAGAAAGCGTAGTAAATTTCTTAACAGCGTACTGCCGTAAGGAAATTTGACTCAAGAAAATTTCTTAGCCATTTCTTGTATGTCATTTTATATGGAGTTTTTCTTTTCTTGAGAGCTGCATACAGGCCTTAAGGCAGAAACGCGACGATATACAGGCAACACACTTTAGTATCGATACGAAAAACAGTTTCGTTACCGCACAATATGTTGTGTTGTATTGATTCTCGTTGATGGTGCATATACGGAACATGCGAGTAACGAGACTATTATGTTGTTATGGTTGAGGGGGTAGCCGTAGCTTAATCTTTATTTACAAAATATACATACAAGAATAATACAATACAAATTATAAGATCTTAAATACAAACTTGGATATTATATGGCTTACCGCGTATTACGTTACAACGTATCGGCAGACGGAAAAGAAAAAGAAATAAAATAATATGCAAACGGGATACAATAACGGATCCTAGTTCTACAATGACATATCAAAATTAAAGTCTACACTTGTGGGTTGCCAACATCCTTCCTTCTTTTAAAAAGATGGTAATCTGGAATCCATGCAGGAGGTCTTTTACGCCTAGATGAACGCCTTAGCTCTGGATGAACCTCGGTTTGCTCTGTTACCGGTTCGCGGTTGTCATTCGGAGCATCGGTACTAGCCTCTGGTAGCAATTGGTTCAGAGGATCTGCCATATTCGTGCATGGTGTAGTCTGCTGACTCGTATCACTTGAAGCCGATTCCTGTGAAGTAGCGAGATCTGGCTCTGCAATACAAGCGCGTGAGTTGCTAGCGTCAGAGACTGATGACGGTGACAGATCGGAAATAATCGAATAAAATATCCAACGCCTTCTGTGGAGCTTCGACGAATCTTGAACGTAGTTGGTTCGCGTGTGATTTCACTGCCTTAAAAATGTTG